TGATGATTGATGAAATTGCTGGTGATGAAATGAGCTTTTTACTACTTAAGTTCCAGATGTTCCTACAGAAGCTAGCCCTTGTTAGCCAGTGCAGAAGTGTGCTGGCAGCATATTCTTACAAGCACGGATGATGCCCTGTTGCTCAGACACTGCAGACAGCCTTTAGCATCGACTCAAAAACCTGCTTTACCTTTATGTTTGTGCTGAATGAGCAACAGTGGCAACTGGAAAAAGAAACATGTGAGAGACAGAAGTTCCTAACATGAGAACACACTGTCCCAAGGCTAACCTTGCACAGGATTTTTTTTCTGTCCCATAGCCAACACTCTTTAGCCCTTGGATTAACACAGCTAGTCCCTGTATTCACTGTGTGCCACTACTGCTCACAGCTGAACACACAAACTTGGCATGTAAGAAATGGCTCTCAGAAGAGCAATGAAGGAAAATCTGGACCTCTGGGTATTTGGTATGTCTTTAATTCTGGCTGTTGCCCTGCCAGGCACTTAGCAAAGATGATGTGCCATGCTCTGAATCTGCACCATCTGTTGCTCGTTAGCTGACAAAAGCAGCAACATGCTATCTCTCTACTAGCTGTTGCTCATTAGCTGACAAAAGCCCTTTTCAGTGTTCACATTCTTTCTGTAATAATCTAATACAGAGATGTACAAAGAAAAGAGGAAAAATATGACAGAGTAAATTATGAGCTTAATTAAGAACATTAGTGTACTCTTAAATCTCAAGAAGAGAATCCAACAGCGGGATGCAGGTCTGGGCCCCAAAGGAGATGTCAGCAGGTAGGTGCAAAGGTCAGTACTAAAGATAATCCATATACCTGAAAATGTTTTGAAACACGCAAGCATGCATTTCTAGGCTCTTTCCATTCAGGTTCTCTGTTTTGTGCTACTTCAGTTCTTCCATACTTGAGAACAGAGCAGCTGACGACATGCAGCTCCCACCTTGACCAGTGCAAGCACTAACCCCAGGTATATGTATGCCTGGTGTGCAACCAGAGCAGGATTCAGGAGCTACACAGTCAACCCCTATAAGCTCCACAGGGAAGTCCTGTTGGTAAAGATTCTGCATTTGTCAAGTGAAGCCTCAGCTTCCATTATAAATCATCTACACTGCTAAAAAGCAGCAGAAACCCCACTAACATTAAAAGGAACCCTGCACGACAGATACTGGACTACACCAGAACCAGCAGAGCCAGAGGGAATGAACTACAAAAGGATTGTGCATTTTGAGAGACACACCGATGACAGCAGATTACTCAAACTAGAGAGAACTGGAAATACAAAACATTTACACTGCCACGACAGATACTGGACTACACCAGAACCAGCAGAGCCAGAGGGAATGAACTACAAAAGGATTGTGCATTTTGAGAGACACACCGATGACAGCAGATTACTCAAACTAGAGAGAATTGGAAATACAAAACATTTACACTGCTATGGTCAATTAATTCTTATTCAAGCTCAATTAGTGGCTTGGGGGAAAAGCCGAAGAGATATTCTGCTTCGAGGAGAAGCAGTTCTTAGTCATGACAATGAGAAGTCACCGTCTCAGCTTCTTGCCTCCCTCCTACACCTTTTCTTAACCCTTCTCCCCAGATAAAACCAGGTAAAATTTTTCTGTCATCGCATCACCATGACAGAAGGCAAGAGTACGAGAAGTGTTCTGTGCGCTAAACAGCACACAGGCAGCTGGCATGGGAAGTGTTAAATGATCACAGGTCAGGGCACAGAGGAAACAAGGAAGATGATAGATAGTATGGATTCTGGCAAGCGTGGGAGAGGAAGAAAAAGTCCACAAGCGAAGCAACATGGTTAACAGAGATGGTCCTGCAAAGCAGGAGACAAAAGGGACAAAAGGAAGAGACAGAAGAGATAAGACATTAATGGACAAGATACAGGTAGTTCTACTTTGCATCTTCTTTTCTCTTCACACCCAGACCAACACTTTTCACTCACTGGCCACAGAAAATTAGAACCAGGCCATGAGTTATAAGTCTTCCTGTTTGAAAGGGGATGGACAGGATGAGATATTACAGCAAGGGAATTGGTAAAATATGCTGGACACCCATGTTCAACCGTAAGGCAGTCCAAAAGAGAGAGAAAGACTTTGCACATAACCACACACCCGAGTGCATGAAACTTCCTCCGTGGGCACACCAAAGCACAGCAAACTTGTCTTCACAGAACTACCAGCCCACAGTACCAGATGAATCCTGTAACCACACTCCTGCTCACACAGAAACACTTTAAAACAAGGTTAAAGCCTTTCAGTGTCAACTGGTTGATGAGGAATCACAGACAAAGCAGCTTAAAGCACAGCTCAGTAGTAACACACTGGGAACTCAGCCAGCTCATGCTGCCAATGCAACTCCTATGGCTTTGTCTTCACCATCAACAGCTCAGCTAATGCAAAGCAACATCGCAGTCGACAAACAAAGGACTTCAATTTTGCTGCAAGGTGAGTTTTAGTAACCAGAGTCCTATTCTGATAGTAATAGCCCAAACCAATTAAAGTTTTATACCTACATCTATACACACACACTCCAACCCTTGCGACGCTAGCGTAACACTTGCAATCATAGCTGTCCTCCTTGGGGTTGTCCGACGCAAGCAACAACACATGCTGGTACAGTGACACAACCAGAGCCACCACACACACACATTTGAATGTCAACTGTTCTTGTTTTTCAGCTGTTGTTTCTGCAGTCAAGGAGAGCAATTCCTGGGATCCTACATTCCCCCCTCCCACTCACTAAGGCCAGAGGATCTGTATGTCAATCGCACTGCACATCGTTAAAAACTGTTTGGTTCAGCTTTTATCCCATCACTGCAAACTGATCATGTACTAGGAAAAGGTTTTCCCAGGGGCATATTCAAACCCTGGAACAGGTGCCCAGTGGGGCTGTGAACTCTCCATCCTTGGAAATCTATAAAACTTGACCAGAGAAGGCCCTGAGCAACCCTGATCAGAGTTAGTCCTGCTCTAAGCAAGCAGCTGGACCAAATGACACCTAGAGTCCTTTCCAACCTGAAGTAATCCAGGATCTTTACAGACTGCCACAAGCTGGAGGCAGGAGAAGAGACAAGTGATTTTTCTTCTTTGCCCTTTTTGGACAAGACACTAGGGCTGCCTTTCAGTGCCTTAACTCTGGAGCTAGCAACTCTGGTAACACCCAATTCGGGCTGCATAAGCCCATCCAAATTTTGATTACTTTCTGATGTAAAAGATTGGTTGGTAACATTTTAACAGTTTAACATAAGAAAGTGACCATTTTCAAAATTCATCAAAAGAGCAAAAGAAACATTTTCAGCTGCACACAATGTATGTATATACTCACATGCATAGTGACTGAATTGTCCCTCTGAAGCTATGAGCAAGGCTAAGCGCTTAGCAGAATTCAAAAGGGGATGTTTCCTGGGTTAGAAGGCCCATCCATCATTAACACAGTAAACCAATTTCTTCAATTCAGACATAAGCCAACAACTAACAATGCAAAGCCTTCCCAGCCTCCCTAATAATGCTATAATTCTCTCCCAGTGACTCCTCTCATACCCCACGTCTCTGTCATGGCACACCGACTGTAGCTACACAGGCATATTCAGCATCCCACGCACAGTGGCTGGTTCGTTAGACATGCTTCTCATGGCAGTATACAGAGTTACAAGCTGCCTACTAAAACAGAGAGGATGGAGACACAGACACAGGCAGCTAGGACCTCTCTGGTTGCATTACAGAACCTTGTTTGCTTGAATATTAATTTTTTGTTTGGAGATTCAAATGGACACTATCTCCATTCTGTTTTGGCTTATCTGACCTGTTAACAGCAGGTCAGCACAGAATATGAATCCCTTGCTCTCCCTGTTGTCTTTTTTCCATAATAATTTTACATTTATGAAGGTGATTAGATAGCAGATAGATGTGTGGGAAGAGGAAAGAACAGTTTAGTTATCTCTTAATTTGGGCAGGATCTAAATGATGCTCATGCAAAAAAATTAGCCAATCAAGTGGGCTGCAAGTATTTAAAAAAAACCCACAAAGGACAATTTTGCAGAAACTTGAATTAATAGTTGCAGCATAGCCTAGATCAGTGAGGTTTGAGTCTCTTGTGACAAGAACAACTGTTACGAACTGTCATTTCGCAGCTATTTATAGTTTATTGTCAGTTACTACGTTCATTACCGTCAGCAATTCACTAGATCCAACTCATTTTGGTAAGGAAGTTTTTGATCAGAGAGCATATTTTCCTGTTATAGATTCATGGGTAAATACCCAGCCCCACCTTCATTAAGAAAATCTTCACTAAGGTTAATGAAAACCTTCATTAAGATTTTCTAATTGTACCAGGTGAAACAAAATTCATGCAAAGCAGAGGATGGCAACATTCTTAGAGACAGAAAACCTGGTTCGTATCTATGAATACAGAGAAGTGCCATCATTCAGCCTGTTTTAAGTTAAAACTGCACACCAAAAGTCATGCCAGCAGCTTGTTCAGGAGCCAGGTAAGGAGGAACCTTAGACTCACACAGCTGTTGTCACTAGGATGCTCTCACTCAAAGGTACAGGTTGAACTCTGGACACTTCTTAATCTTGTCTAAGTTCCCACTAATATGAATTCTGCTAGGGTTTAAACAGACACATAAAATGACAACCAATCCTTGCAACAGGCCCACCCTTTCCTATGATGTTAAAATCTAAGTAAGAGAAAAAACCCAGTATTAGCCTGTCTTCAATGCTGCAACACAAACTTGATGCTTTATAAAGACTAAATTTTATACAGGTACTTTTAATGCTTTAGAAAGGACAAAAAAGCTCACTGGTTTAAAGCAGAACTAGGACTGGAGATTTCCATAGCACAGATAAAGCCCCCTTATTCTGAAAGGGATGGATAACTGGGGTTAAAGAAGAGGCATTAAGTTAAAATAGCAAGAGCATATTAACTGACTTGAAATAACATGTTAAGGGTCATAGCAACGGTCACTTACGGCATTCAAACCACTGTCACCAAACCAGTCCGGCAGCCCATCACACTGCCAGGCCCCTGGGATACAGCGCCCGTTACTGCACATGAAGTTTCCAGGAATGTTGCATTCATTTGTGAAGTTATTCCCAGGCAACAGCTGGCTCTCTGTGATAAACAAAAAAGAGGAAAATTTAGAGGGTATTTTTAAACAAGGCAGAAAAGCACTCACTGAGCAAGCTGTTTATCAGTGGTTGAATGAAGATCACAGAATCACAGAATGGTTGGGGTTGGAAGGGACCTTGAAGACCATCTAGTTCCACCCCCCCTGCCATGGGCAGGGACACCTTCCACTAGACCAGGTTGCTCAAAGCCTCATCCAGCCTGGCCTTGAACACTTCCAGGGATGGGGCATCCACAGCTTCTCTGGGCAACCTGTTCCAGTGCCTCACCACCCTCTCTGTGAAGAACTTCTTCCTGATATCCAATCTAAACCTCCCCTCTTTCCACTTAAACCCATTACCCCTTGTCCTGTTACTGCATGTCCGTGTAAAAAGTCCCCCCCAGCTTCCTTGTAGCCCCTTCAGGTGCTGGAAGGTGCTATAAGGTCTCCCCGGAGCCTTCTCTTCTCCAGGCTGAACAAGCCCAACTCTCTCAGCCTGTCCCCATAGCAGAGGGGCTCCAGCCCTCTGAGCATCTTCGTGGCCTCCTCTGGACTTGCTCCAAGCAGTCGATATCCTTCTTATGTTGGGGACCCCACAGCTGGATGCAGCACTCCAGGTGGGGTCTCACGAGAGCAGAGTAGAAGGGGAGAATCTCCTCTCTCAATCTACTGGCCACACTTCCCCTGATGGAACTTATGGATCCTGACCCCGGTTATTCTGTCATTATCTCATCAGTATCCTGAGTATGGTGCTTGGTAAGACTTTTTCTTTCCTCCTAAATTATCATCATTTTACCTGTTCTCCATTCACACTACCCATTTTACAGATTTCTTTCTTGTCATTTTCTTTCTAGGAAAGAACATACATGCAGTGTTCTACGTATCCTCCGGTCAAAGCAAAGTTTGTGTTTAAAAAAAAAAAGACTGTATGAAGGTGATAATCTGAACACAACTAAACCAGATGAGGCTATTAGAACTCAGGTCCATACTTCCCATGCTTTTGTCAGATCACTATTTAGCTTGCAAAATATTTTTTTGCAGTTACCTCAGGGCTAGGAACTAGGTAACATATTGACTAATTCATACTATGTTTTCAATTATTTCTTAAACATAGTATTGCTGATCAAAGTTAGATTTGAACCTTTTGGTGTCAATACAGTTAATACAACTAGCATACATCTGTCCACAGGCTAGTAAAGCAGTTGGCACATTAGGAGTCTGTCAAGTGGGGGGTGGGGGGTGTATTAATAGCAGGATACTGGAAATCAAGAGAACAGTGTGAGAGGGAAGCCTAAAGTTTTGCCTTCAAGGTAACTTTTCTCTGTCCCTGGGAAGGCCTGAGCTCCAGGGACAAGGAGAAGCACTGTAAACACAGCATGGTGAGTGCCCCACTCTGTGATGCTGCATGGAGCACACAGCAGATCACGGGCAGATGGGGCAACCTTGGCCAACCGGGCACACACCCAGAGCCACCCGTAACTCCTGGTACAGCACCTTAAACAAAGCGACAGCCCAGCAAAAAGCCAGCCCAGACTGTGCAGCTAGCAGTTTGAGGTCTTTTTGCTTTTAGCAGTTTCATCAAACCTCAGTTTCATCCCCCACATCACTGCTCTTCTGATCAAGAAGGAGCATGTTTGCTCCCTACGCTACAGTGGGAAAAAGCTACAGCCTACAGCGTACTGGAAGAAGCTCAGCTCCAGCCTAATCAGGCAGGGCCTGCACTGCTCCCCAGCAGCTCCCAATGAAATGCTGCACCCAGCTCTTCATGCCAGAGTGACGAAATCTGAATCGGCAACGGGAATGGTTTGTCCTTGGCTAGTCCTGACATGACACACCAGATACAGCTCTGTCAATAACCACCCCCAGGCCGGTGCAGCCTTACAGCACTGCTGATAAGAGAGTTCTGCAGTTTTGTGTTCAACCAGCAAGGGTTTTATTGTTGGGGTTTTGTTGGGTTTCTTTCCCCAAAACCAGTGACACAACACATTCAGATCAGTCTTGGTACCCTGGTAAGCAACCACCAAAGCAAAGTCACCACTCAAACAGTTACAGAGGGCGAAACTGCAGCCTTACACAACCTCTTACTAGCTAACAACTGCCAGCACCACCTCTGCCTGCAACTGGAGAAAACCTACTGCAGTATTACAACACTACAGCATGCTGTCACCACTGCAAGAGGTGAAAGAGATTAAACACCTGGGTATTCTTCGCAATGTAAAGTCACGGCCAATGCACCACATTAGAGTTTGTTATAAAGCACCCAAGAGCTTCACAGCAGGACCTAACTCCTTCCTCCATGCTCCCCCACCCGCTCCCACACTCAAAAACTAGAAAAATCACTTTCAGGTCAATATGGTACCACTGGAAGCCTTTCCTGGTAGTTGTCATAACTTTCATTTTGAGAGAATTTACAAGTTCTCAAATAATAAACTGAAGTGTCCTGGCTAAGAATAAATCTCTGATGCAAAACAGTTACTTCAAGCTTGACAAGAGAACTAGGACTTACTGAGGCTTTAGTGCTGTCAGAACCTAAGCACCTAGACAGTACATTTAGGCAGCCATATCAAAAGTTGCCATTCTCTTGGCATCTCCCTGCTGCTCTGCACTACCTTCTTGTCTAACCTCCTAGCTACAGCTCATCCAGCTTGTTCCACTTCTATATGGAAGCTGCACCTACTCAAAATGAAAAATCCTACTGTCAAACTTAAGTGAGACCTCTTCTAGATTTGGGCAAGTTGCTAGCTAAGAACCAACACCAGCTCTCAAGAACTGTCTTCTCCCTAAGCACCAGAGTATTCCTGAGAAAATAAGATACTGGATGCATTTCAAGCACTGTAACACCTCCAGTGCAGCATAACCAAGTCCAGCTCCTGTTAGACCTACTGCTGTTAACCTGTCTGACAAGCTTTAGTCATGATCTCCACGCTCCTTTAATGAAGAAATTTAGACCGAGCCAAATCATTTAAGATTTTTTTGAAGTTTCAAAAAGCAAAAGACAAACCAAGAAACAAAACAGTCCCTCCAAGCTATCGAGTCCCAGTTACTTTTAACGACTTCTTTAAATAAAGGCAATACTTTTACCCTAATAAATTGAAGCAACATTCCAGGAACAGGTACCAAGTTTTATTTTTTACTCAGGAAGTTGTTTGTTTATAGGATTTCCTTTGTCATAGAGCAATTTTATCCTCAATGTTCTTCTAGAGCAAGAATGTATTACTAACCTTTTCATCAAACAGGAAACAAAAGACACTGGCAGGTCAGGTTACTTGCTGACAGCTCTAAGCAAGCTTTGCTGTGGAACTGGAACAAGGAATTCTGACTCAATTCAATTTCAAAGCAACACCTATTTCTCTTAAAACTTGACCTTCATCAGCTACTGGAAGAGAATTGCAGGTTACAGACAGCAATTTAAGACTCCAAGACAGTTCATCTAGAAAATTGTTCTGTGCATTACTCCATCTCCAAAAAATCCATTGATGGATAAAGAACTGTCAGAACAGCAGCACATGTGGAACTGTTTTAAATCCTATTGCTCTTTGTTTCCTTCCCTTTGCCATTCTCCTTTATCAGATATAAAAATCCTCAAAGAAATCCTCAGTGCGGTCACCACCTCCCAGTCCTCAGGAATGCGATGTTCCTGCCCACTCAGCGCACAGCCCGCTGCGTGACTCAGGGGCTCTGTATATGCACATAAAAGGGAAGCAGCGTTACAGACATGCTTAAGACAGAAACAGAAAGGACCAAACTAGATCACTTTGCCCATTTTTATAATAAAGTCCATACAGATGTCAGGTTTTATGTAGCCAACTCGCTATCCCGCCTGTTGGCGGGGGCAGAAATTTCTTCAATCTGGTAGAGTCGGGTTTCCAACAACTGACATATTTACCCTGCAGCCTCCTCAACTGATTTTGAATTGAACCCAAATATGAGCTACACAGATGTCTTAAGTAAAGAAGGGAGGGGGAAAAAGGGGAAATAAGTCGTCCATTTTCACTGTAATGCATTGCTCGCTTTAAGCGGCATTCTATCTGGGCTGAATAGAAAAGGGACTTGTGTTTCACTTTGGGACTGAGTAAGGAACGGCAATCTGTTTTAGCAGCCACTTCCAAAAATGTTAGCATCCAAGTATTTAATACTCACTGAAAAAGAATCAGGGAAAGCTAAATAGAAGGACAAGTTATACTGAGCACTTCATGCGGTATTAAGAAAGCAAGTCAAGGATATCTTTCACAAGAACACTTCTACTTGAAAGCACTCCGGAGAACTGTGCACATTACAGAACAGATTGCTACTGATAACACTCCTGCCTCTGTATCAGAAAGTGTAATCACTAAGAACAGGCAGTCACCCCTGCCAGGTTTTGAGAAAGAAATAAAAGACACCCTTCATGAACAATACCAGTGACTTCAGGCTCTTTGCAAAGAGGATCTATCACTAGGGATGAAGCATGAACACTACCAAACCTTTGGCATGACTTTTGTGGGAATTCTGGGATCTTCACTGGATACTTTCAATGGACCGCTGCTTCAAGTTTTTCAACCGTGAAGAGCATTATTTTGATGCAGGCTGGTATGTAGCTGTGAGGCCGAAGCGGCACTCATGACACTTTCCTATCACACGATGCACAGAGTGTGCTCCACACTTGAATGAATCAATCCTGTCCTTCTGCTTATCCCCTTTCCAGGTGCAAGCCCACATCAGGTTTGAGTTCAGCATGTCAGAAATCTATTCTCACTCTACCGAAATCTGCAACACATGGTGAAAACAGAGAGAAAACTAGAACAAGTCAGTAGCTAGAATTTGCAGGAAGATGGCATAAAAAAGACGTACCTTCAATACCTGCTAATACTCAGCAGCAAAACAGAAACTAGAGGAAAGTGAGCAATGACTTTTTGATCTTCCTTTGTCATCTTCAAAGATAACAAATAAGCAGTGCTAAGTGCCTGACAGGATATTATGGGATTTGATTCCTCAAGGACTGCAAAACCGTTTACAAATGCTTACA